TTATAATCTTTATTATAAACAACCACAATAACTTTTTTATTAAATTTTTTCTTTTATAATAAAATAATATTATTAATAAATTTATTATTTATTTATTATATTATAAAAATATTATTTAATTATATTTTAATTGAATCCATATAAACTTTTAAATCCTAAATTCACCGATTTAATATCCAATCTAGATTTAAAATCATTGTTTTTTTTTTCAATGTAGAAGACTCTTCCAATATTTATGAGATAAAATTACCAGTGATGAACCAAACCAATATGCAATCTTGGATATACACAAAGAGATTTTTTTTTTCATTCTTTTTATATGTAATGTGTGTGAAATTTGGTTGTTTAGTGAGTAAGTAATGAAAAAAGTGCCTTTTGAGTTTGGAATAAAAATTGGTGTAAATTAAAAACCAAAAGGAAAGGAAGAGTCTATCCACATTGTCATTTCCCTTTCATTTATTTGACAATGAAGATTAGAAATGGTTGTTAAACCATGTCATCTTATCACATTAATTAAAGTAACTTTATTTCATATATCTTTCCCATTCATCTAGTAATCATCCACTAACACCAACACAACTTTATCTCATTTTTTTTATGCCTTTTTTTATTATTGAAATGAAAAGACAACGGTGTTTTTATTATATTTAACATCAGTGCACTACTATCTCAGTGGTACGAGGGAAATTGAATATCACCAAAAGTGAGTGTCTTAACTTACATTAATTATCGACCAAGACAATAAAGATTTCATATTAATAATATCATACATTAAAAAATAACTTTATGTCATCCAATAAATATAATAAGCTCTTATGAATAAAAATTGTGACTATATATCACTATGTGAAAAGAATGACTCAATAATAATTTTTTTTTAAAGAACATCTTAATAGTGCTCCTCTTAAAAAATTAAAATCAACCTATTGTTAAGTGTGGTATGTTAGGAAAACTTGATTTTTTATTAAATTATTAATATGTGTTATATCAAAATAATTAATTTAAAAATATTTTTTAAATTTAAATTATATTAATAAAATTAATTTTTATTTCATATATAATGATATAATAATTTAATATTGGTTTCATTCAGTTTCAAGAATTTAAAAATTACAATCATTTATTTTAAATTTGATATAAAATAGTAGTTCATTTTACTCTTATTTTTATTTTTATCAAATAATTTATATATATATATATATATATATATTAATAAAACAATATTACTTATATGTTTTTTTTAAATAATTATTAATATGTATACAATATACAATTTTTTTTAGTGTATATTTATATTTTAATTTGTTATCGTTAATCACGAAGACCAGAACTTAATATTATTAGTCAATAAACAGTATTTTATAAAATTTATAAAATAAAATTATAATTTATAATAGAAACAAAATACAATTTTTTAAAATAATTTAGGAACAATAATTATATTTAATAATTTTATATATAGAAAATATATCTTATTTATACTTTCATTTATTTTTCTCTTCGATGCTTTATGCATACTTTATTTGCTTATCACATGATCATCAAGAGTCTTCGTACTCGTAATCAAATCATTCATCACTGGACTTTAATTGAAGTTATAGTTTAGAGTTCCGTGGCAGGTAAATATGATGACACGTGTTGTGTAGACAATTTCTTTATGCCTTGTTGGTGCCCTTATGAATAAGACCTTACACATTTGGGATTTGTAACAAAGTGTGATATTGTGTTTTACATTATTCTATTATGCTCCCTCTAGTCATCATTGCAAATATATTAAGTTCGTGATTTATTTTTTTAACTATTTTATTCTTAATAAATTCATTAAAATTTATATTTAACTTCTTCTTTTTTACACGAGTTAAAGTTTTATTATTTATGAAAAAAAACATAAAATAATTGAAATGCGAATAGAAATAATTTATTTTTAAATAAAAATAATAAGAGTTTAAAGCCAATTAAAAAACAGTAAATAAAATTATCAAATATATAATTATATTCATGACATAAAATTAAAATTTATATAAAAAACTGTATTATAATTTTATATTTACCAACCACTTTCTAGTTTAATCAAGTATTATAATTCAACAAATTAATAACTTTGACTAACAATTTTATATTATTTATTCAATTTTCAATAAATATAATAGAATATTTTAACATGAAATATTTTATTACTAAGAAAATTTGGTAGCATTTAGGTATAAGCACTTGTAAAAGGAAAAAAAAATCAAATTAATTTACATTAATAATAAAAAATTATCGAAACATCTCACCTTCATTAGAGATATAATAAGACTATGATATATAATTAAGTATAATCTTCATTTTATTGAGTTAATTTTGTAATATTGAATTAAATACTCATAATTTCTAAGATAATATCAAAATCAACTCTAATGATATTAGGACATTAATCATTAATGATTGTAAAGTAAATAACTTGTTATTAGACTAATATTACATCACACATCCTCAATATAATTAAGTGTGATGAAAAAAATTATCAGGTGTATAAAAAATTCTCTTTATATATGTATAATCTTTACCTTACTCAACATGTTTAGTATTATTGTTAAATTAGGTATTTCACCGATTTTAAGAATAATAATTAAAATAGTAAATAATCAATTAAAGTATATATAATTTTAACCAGAAATAATAAAATAAAATAATGTAAAATACAAAACTACCCTTATTTACTATTTCAACTAAAAAGCGCACGTATTCTTTCTTTTGGTTAGAAACTAGCTTCACGAATTGAAGAATATACAACAATGATTTTTTTTTCTAGGGTTTAGATATGAAGACTAAGTTTGCAAAAGACTTAGAAGCATTTTCTTCTCAAATAAACTATTCACAGTTTGAATATTCAAAATTGAGCATTAGTCTTTGTTGCATGTAAGAGATGCCTTATACAGTGTCATGGTAGTCATCTGAGAGTACATGGTTGAATCCATAATATGATTATTTTATTGTATATAATAATGTATTTTTTTCTTATAAAATTAAATGTTTGTAGTTATTGTACATAATAATGTATAAATTTAAAGCTATAAGCAAAGTATATTTCTTTCTTTCTTTAATATCAGAAGAATAGGATACCACAGTTAAATTCTATATCTGAGCTGCTATAATATATATCTTCATTAAACCTATTAAAATTATATGCAGTTCCCAAAAACTACACTTAATCTTCTCCTAAAAATTATTCAACAACATATATAATACATAAATCAATTAATACAAAATTATTTTAGCTTGGTAATTTCAATACGATAGTATACAATTGTGTTAAATAGTCATATTGAATAAAAATATTTTTTTATAAAAAATTACTTGTATCAATTCCAGAAAAACTTGACACATGATATATAGTATACACTCTCTCAATTTTAGAATATAACAAAATTTAATCATTCATTACTAAAATTTAATATAATAATTTGTTCGGAGGAGATTTTAGTTATGAATAATTAAAATTTTTTATATAATAATTTGATTTAATAACTTAAAAACATTAAAGTATATAATATATTTCATAATTACCTTGTAAATCGGATTAATATAATAGAGAAACATTACACAAGAATGATCTAACGGTATGAAAATTTAATATATTTCTTATTTCTTTGAATAAAAATTGATTACTCTTATGACATCATTATAAAGTTAATATATCACATTTACTGTTTTGTGAATATTGTATTTATAAAAATAATATTAACTATTTATTTAACGCAATGCATAATTTATTTTAAATAGTATTAGCTATTTATTTAGCCCAATAAATTGATTGGGTTGAAATATTATTTCTACTCCTAATTTGAACGGGAAAATAAATGTTATAGTAATCATTCTTCTCTATTTATAAAAGGTATTTACGTTGATATATTAGTTTTTAAAATAGAATGAAGCATCGCATAAATTTTAAATTTTTAAATTTTGATAATTAGTATCGTTAATGTATCATATTTATACTATTGTAAAATTTAAGTTTATTTAAATATGTAGAAAACTTATTTCTTACAATTTTTTATGAAAATTTGCAAAAATATTCCCATAAAATATAAGATTTTCTAGTAGTATTTTATTATTTTGATAAATAATTCAAAAGTTTAAATATTTTAATTATATTTATTAATCGTAACAACGTATTTGAGAGAAAATGATAAAATAAAAAGAATGATTTATTTCAATTTTAAAGTTAATATCTAGCGTTTATCATATTGTTAATGTTTTATTATTATTTTTTATGAAAATATATTAATCTATTCTTAAAATATGCTAGTTACATATTTTAGTGTTCAATTACTTTTCACAATGTTATATTAGTTAAACTAAGTTGGATCTTGCTTTTTTAATACGCAGTTGATTCAAACTATCTTAAATTCAAATACAATTTGGAACAGTTGTAAAATAATGACATTGAATATGATTGAATTGATTAAAAGGTTCAATTGTATTAATTGTTTTCCTTGAAATTTTAAATAATTATGATTTTAATCTCTTAAATTTTTAAAAATATTTATTTTAATTCCTAAAAAAAAAAATCCTGAAACCATAAATATGAAAGATTAAAATAGTTTTAGTTCTTCAAATTTAGTCTTTAAGAACTAAAATTAATTTGAAGGACTGAAAAATTATTTACGTTAAAATTGAGGAATTAAAAACATAATTAAAAATACTTTCAGTTTGATATATTAAATATAAACATATTTTGATATAAATATTTGTTTTATCTGGTAAAGATTTTTTTTTTGTAAAAAGTAACAACTAACATTGTGGAGGATCTTAAGTGCCTATGATGTAATATAAGGATTTCTCTCCATTTATATCATACTCAATGTGATGTCATGAAAATTTAAATCGCGGATAATAAAAACCAGGTCTCTAATTCTGGCCTTATGAATATCCTGCAATATCGTTGGGAAATTAAAAAGCATGGTCTTCAATGGTTTAAAAATGTGAGTGTGACTTTTACTAAACAGTACGTGAAGATGAAGGTTCCTTTAATTTTGGTGGCGTGCGTGTGGGTGTGAGGTGTAAAATTTGAATCAGAATAGCTTCATTCCATAAGCTTTGCTTTTTTCCACCTCACCAATTGCTTGTCTCTTCTTCCAAAGTCACCAGCTTTGAGCCCCATTTCCTTTTTAAGCCCTCCACTCATTGTCATTGCACCAACCATATATATAACATTGTAAAATACCAAAACCAAGTAAACAATACAGAGAGGAGGAGGAAGAAGAAGAAGAAGAAGATGGGAGATTGGGGGCCAGTTTTTGTGTCTGTGGTGCTTTTCATTCTCCTCACTCCAGGGCTTTTGGTCCAGATTCCAGGAAGAGGCAGCTTCATAGAGTTTGGAAACTTTCAAACAAGTGGCTTATCAATACTCATCCATGCTATCCTCTACTTTGCCCTAGTTTGCATCTTCATGTTAGCAATTGGGATCCACATGTACTTGGGCTAAATCATCATCAATCCTCATCTATACTATACACTTTTTATTACATGTATAGTTTTCTTCCTTTGCTTTGGTTTGTGTTTAATAGTGATATCACTTGTTTCCCTTTAATGCCCTTCTTTTTTTCCTTTTCCAGTAAATTTCTTGGAATCAAGCTTGTGAATTAATGAAAATTTTTCAGTTTTTTTTTTTTCCTTTTTAATTTCCTTTGGAGTTATGTATTTACAGTAACTAAAAAGGTTAATTTTTGTAAATTGAGTGCGTGGAAACATTTATTTGAGACTCTCTCTTCACGTTATATATCCTATAATACCTCAACTCTAAACTCCCTCTCAAATTTATGAAAATCCAACTAAATCTAAAAATTAGAAAAAAACGACAAAAAATGGAAAATTAATTAAAATTGTGTTTTCTTTCAATTTTTTTTGAATTAATAAATTTAAAAATCAAAGTTTTAAATTTGACAATAAAAATCAATTAAAATCTAACCAACTAAAATTATAATATATATTTTTAAAATTAAAAGATAAGATAACACTTATCAATTAGTTTTATCATTATTAGAATTTTTCATAGGATTTTTTTACAAAATTTTGGTAAAAATTCATAGAAAATAAGTTTGTTTACAAATTTTCATACCAAATTTATTAGCATGTAATTAGCTCTGGATAATAAATTATCTACGAATTTAATTATTCACAAAATTCTTTTACAAGATTCTATGCAAAAAAATTTATAAGTAATTTTGTAAATTTAAATCCGCATATATAATTTTTTGCAATTTTAAATTTGTATGTAATTTCTTACCATTTAAGTTTTTACGTAATTTTTAATCAGTTTAAATTTACATGTAATTTCTTACCAATTTCAAATTTGCAAGTAATAAATTCACGTATAATTTCTTACTAATTTTAAGTTCGCATGAAATTTCTTGTCAATTTTAAATTCACAGGATCATTTTCTTGTGAAATTATTTTTTTCAAGAAGATTAGCAGGAATTTTTTTATAAATTTAAAATTATATATATATATATATATATATATATATATATATATATATAATTGACAAAAAATATCTTTATTACATAACTAAATGATTATAAGAAAAGTTTTACTTTAATTATTATATAAACTAAAACCAAAATTAACATGAAAAATATTTTCTTTCTAAGAAAATTATTTAGTTTTATATTAATATGATCAGTGTGAATTTCAAGACAAAATATAAACAGAGCAAAATGTTGTTATATGAATGTAATTATCACAAATGCATGAAATAAAACTATCAATATCTAAAAATATGAGATTTATTTTTATGGAGAACGTTATTCTCTTGCATTTTCTCACCTCCACGGTGGATTCCAATTAGTTGATTTTACATAGTCACTTGTCATCACTCAGTATGCAACACAAACATGAACAAATCATAATATTATTCTCAAACATGCAAAATTCTTAAAATAGTTCCATTTGCAATAAATGATCTATCTATAACACACTTGAACATAAATATTTGAAGAATTAACTAAGCCTAGTTAAGGGCTTCAATGTGGGTTCAGGAAGAGCTCTCAAAGCTATTTGGAGAAGACATTCCATAAAAAATATGACAATGAGGACTTTTCTTCCCATATAATCTTGTGCATTTTGTATATACACATCTAGAGATGTTGGAAACATATCTATCACGCATCTTTAAACCTTCACTCATTCACACACATCATTCTTTTATTCAATTGATAAACAAAATCTGGCTTTAGGCTTTATACATTTCCCATTAGGATTTGTTTTTAACAATAACTCTTTTCTATTACAATACAATGTCAGGTCTAATTGTGTCTTCTCATTGTCTTTAATTTTCTCTATGTTATCCATAATAGTATAAAACAAATTTTCAAAGACATTTTTCTATGTGCATAACATCCAAATTGTGTCTCAATAGATTATGTTTCCAATACAATAACTCCTAAAATATGCTTCTTTTTGTCCAATTATGGGAATATCCGGTTGAGAATTCAAGTGTGAGTTTGAAGTCTCATATTGGGTAGAAATGAGAAAGTTGAGTAACTTATAAGTGAAAAACACCCATAACCTATTGTCTTAAGGTTTTTGGTTGAAAGTAGTGTCATATTTTCTTATATGATTGACTCATGACCCATTTGTGAGAATCTCTCTGATGTTAGCCCCCTCGAAAATACCTAACAATGGTATAAGAGCCGATGGTTCGTCCAGTGACCGGCTCAGTTGAGTATAATAGGTGAAATATCCTTATGTTGAAAGTTTTCTTGACATGACTTTTAGGCAAAATGGTTCGTCCAGTAACCGACTCAATTGAGTATAGTAGGTGAAAGGTCCTTGTGTCGAAAGTCATCACGAGGTACTTATGGCTAAGAAATGCATATTTCTACTTGAGGGGAGGAATATCAATGTGAAAGGGAATCACACTTGAGAGGGGAAATATTGAGAATTCAAGTGTGAGTTTGAAGTCTCACATTGGATAGAAATGAGAAAGTTGAGCAACTTATAAGTGAGAAAAACCCATAACTTATTGTCTTAAGGTTTTGGGTTGAGAATGTTATCATATTCTCTTATATGATTGGCTCATGACCCATTTGTGAGAATCTCCTTGTTATTAGCCCCTCGAAAATACTCAACAGTGGTATCAAAGTCGATGGTCCGTCCAGTAATCGGCTCAGTTGAGTATAGTATGTGAATGGTCCTTGTGTCGAAAGTCTTCCTAACAAAGATTTCAAACAAACGAGTCTCATTAAATTGAATGACGGTACAAGTAAGGTCGTCACTAGGTACTCATGGCTAAGAAATGCATGCTTCCGCTTGAGGGGAGGAATACGAATGTGAAAGGGAATCACACTTGAGGGACAGATGTTGAAAATTCAAGTGTGAGTTTGAAGTCTCACATTGGGTAGAAATGAGAAAGTTGAGTAACTTATAAGTGAGAAAGACCCATAACCTATTGTACCTATTGTCTTAAGGTTTTGAGTTGAGAATGATGTCATATTCTCTTATATGGTTGACTCATGACCCATTTGTGAGAATCTCCTTGCTGTTAGCCCACTCGAAAATACCCAACAGTGGTATCAGAGTCGATGGTTTGTCCAGTGACAATCTCAGTTGAGTATAATAGGTGAAAGGTCCTTGTGTCGAAAGTCTTCCTGACAAGGGTTTCAGACAAGTGACCTTTCACCTACTATAATCATATTGAGTCGGTCACTAGATGAACCATCGACTTTGATACTACCGTTAGGTATTTTCGAGTGGGCTAACAGCAGAGAGATTCTCACAAATGGGTCATAAACCAACCATATAAGAAAATATGACATCATTCTCAACCAAAAACTTTAAGACAATATATAGGTTATGAGTCTTTCTCACTTATAAGTTACTCAATTTTTCTATTTCTATCCAATATGAGACTTCAAACTTACACTTGAATTCTCAACAAGTCCATGACTAGGTACATTGTGTGTCTTCACTTCAACTGACTTAGGAATGTTAGAAACCATATCCCATATTTGTTCACCACTTAAGCTAGAAGGAGGCTAATCTTTCTCAATTCTACTTTTTGTAAAAAAAAAATTCGTATTTCTCTTAAAAATATGATTATGAAGTAAAAATTGACGATGACAATCAAACCAAGTCATTTAGTCATTTTTCTTCCATTTTTTAATGAAAAAGCTTTTGACTTTTCATACATATTGGACAAACAAAATTTTCAGTATTACTCCACCCAAACAATATCCCATAGGTAGGAAAATCATTTATTGTCCATAATAATGCAGATCTCAATACATTTTTTTTGCTTTTTTAAGGCATCATATGTTATTACACATTATTCCATAATTATTGCAATTTATCTACCAATGGTTGCAAATACATATCAGTTTTAGCTTTTGGATTATGTGGACCTAAAATGATCAAAGTCAAGAACATATAGGAAGTCATCATACATAATTTTAGAGGGAGATTATATGGTGTGACAATTACTTGCCAACAAGAATATTATTGTCGATTAGCTAAAGGGAATGAATCCATCATCACACAAACCAAGTCTTACATTTTGAGGTACTGAACAACTTCAGGATATAATTTATCAAAGTACTACCAAGCTTCCCCTTTAAAGGATGACATAACACACCTTCCATACAATTTTCATAGTGTCACCTCATATGCATATAACCTTTGTAGTCTAGAATGAGTAGTAAGTATGCAATTTTTTACGAGGAATATCTTTAGTTTTTTTTTTTGCATTCATTGGGTGCTTTATATTGAAACTTTCTACAAAATTTACATTCCTTCAAAGTATTGTAATTTTTGTAATACAACATACATCCATCAATGTAATAATATATTTTTATCCTTGATAAATAAAGTCCTGCTATAAGTTTCTTTGTTTTCCCTAAAATTGGAAGAAATAATATTTTGAGGATGGTTTGACTCTTTCATAAATTTCATCACATCATTTAAACAAGCTTGCGACATATTGTATTTAGATTATATACTTAACATCGTAATAACAACAAACAACTCTAATGTATTTTCACATTCCGATCATAATGGTTGTTGAGCCGAATTTAACATTTTGTAAAATTTGGCAACATTCATATTTGTAGGTCCCTCTTCATTTAGTATGAAATGTTGCTCACGATTAAGACCAACAACATCAAACAACATATCTTCATGTCTATTAACATATTTAGAACCCCATAGGTGACTACTACATGACATTGAATGTATATCAACATTAATATTAGTATGAAGATCTTTTCTCCATAAAATATTCAATACTCAAGTATAAATCATTTTTGAATAAGGCGAACATTTACTTCATCCGTAATTAAAAACATCTCATTTTTATATTCCTTTCATAGACACCCTATTTTTCTTTCATGAGACCTCTGGAGGAGGTCTTCACACATTTTAACCAAAACAACAACTTAAAAAGAAACATGAAACTTACAAATTACAACTATATAACTAGATCATAGATATATCAATAAATTCATTATTTTCTCCAATATGTAGTCTTAGTTATCTATCTCAACGAAAATTGTTCATTGAGATGTTAAATAAAAGAATATGTTACTAAATCCAGTCAGAACTAAAAATAGTACATTTTGGGGTTGCTCAAGTTGAAGCTATATGAATCCAAGTGATATGACAGGTGAAACTGGAACCCTTAGATATATGACCCGAGAGGTAGGTATTTGCAAGCTCCCACACTCGACCCTTAGAAATATATGATCATAATTCCTAAACAAAGAGCCAACCAAGTTATTATAATGTATGTGTGAGTAATGATATGAGATTTGGTTTAGGGATTATCATGCGGGTGGTTCCAACTTTCACACGACTTAGTCTTTGTAAGGCAGTATCTAAAAATGATGGAATCACAATTTATTTAGTGTGTCACATAGTAGAATTTATTAGATATTTTGAAAGAAAAGGATGTCATGAGAATTATTACTTAATAATAGATACAATAGGAAGAAGTGAAAGAAGAAATGTTAGCAAAATTTAAAAATATCAATTATTCATTTTTATTTTGGAACTAATCAATATGAATGTTTAATAAGTGATATATTGACATGCTCTAATTAAAAAATATCTCTCTATAAAGAATAATCATAATTGATAAAATAAAGATGCAAAAACTTACTTCCAATTTTCTTCCATTTAAGAATTAATTAAAAATAAAACTATACGAAATTAACTATAAACAACTTTATATTTTCATAAACTAAACTGACTATTGTGCCTACAAGTTATTTTGCTTGTTACTTATTTGTGAAAATATCTAGGTGTTAATCCATAAAAAAAAAATTTGGGCAATTATGTTACTTTAGCTCTTCGTTGAGTTGGGTAAACTGAAAAGAAATCAAAGTACCAAAATTACAATAGCTTTTACCAATATAGATGGTGAAATAGAGGGGTATGTATAAACTATGATTAAGATAGTTAGCAATTGTCAATAGCCTCCTCTTACCAACAAGCACTTAAGAGAGGAAATTTGATTTCGAAGCCCTATTCTGTCCCTGGAGTCCTCCCACTAAACCCATTTCACTATAAACTTTGTTTGAAAGAGGGAGAATCTCAGAAACTAGGGTTCTTACCTCTTTACAATCAAAATAATACGATGAAGAAGAAAAATATTATTCAAGAGTTAGTGTGGACATAGGTAAAACATTGGTAAAAAAATTGTAGCCCATCAAAAATCTATCCCATAACACGGAGAAGCAAAATCCAACTCAACAATGAGGATAAAAAACAAAGGCTGCACAAAATCACATTCTTCCCAATTCAAACTCACCACCAAATCCAAAACTCCACTGTCGAAATACCAAATCATTTTTAGTCAAACATTTTCGATTTCAAAACCTAAATTCAAAATACTAGCTTAATAACTAAACTTTAATAAACTATAATAAGATATTGAAAAGGCATAATAATTCAAAATAAATAAAAAGAAATATAAAAAATGGAAGCATTAAATTAATCATCATAAGAAGAGTCAAACAAATTTATAGAATTGATCGAGAAGGTTTTATGTTTTATGTTTAATTAGATTTTTAAACTTTTTTATTAATTTTAATTATAATTATTCAAAATTTAGAATAACAATTAATTTATAATATATCAAAATATTTAAAATAAATTTATGTTAAATATAATAACTAAAAAAATCATGAAATATTTCAAATACATTTAACAAAATATTTATTTTATTTTGATTTTTTTAAAAAATATTTAAAAAATAGATGTTAGATCTTCGAATGTTTAAAATTTACTTACGGATGTTTTTATAAAAAAAATGGGTGAGAAAATTTTAAAATTTCTCTAAATTTACTTGAATTTTTTAATTTACAAAAATTAAAAAAAAAATTATATAATATTATTTTTACAAGAAAACTGACAAAAATTTTCAACCAATATTTTTAGTAAAAAGAATGACAATAATTTCCTACGTGTTTCTATTAACATGAAAATTGTAAGTATTTTTAAGAATTTTTTTACAGAAAAATCAGCTTGAAAATAATGTTTTTCTTACATGTTGCTATTTTTTTTAATTGACTTCTATGAAAATAAATTAAAATTATAAATATCACAATCAATTATATATGATATTTTTATAAAATATTTTTTATTAAATAATTATTTATGGTAATATATTTAATAATTTTATTATAAAGATATAAAAATGTTTAAATTAAATTATAAAATGTTAATTTAATTCAATTTATTTTTTTAAAAATAAATAAATAAAAAAACAAAATAAAATCGGATTTAAATTTGATATAATCACGAATGAGTTTATTAAGTATTTGTTGGAAGACAAAATAACGAGAATTCTGGTGGCTAATTTTTCAACTGCTTGATCATAGGGTTTGGATTTTGTATGAAGTTAGTTTTTCATAGACACTCTGAAACTTTTTTTTTTTTTTTGTTAACATAAGAAAACACCTAATTGGTAAGAAAAAAAATAATTAAAACACTAGAGAGAATATAAAAATGGAAACTAAGATATTTATTTTTATTTTATGCTTTTACAGTAGGAACTAGATTTAAAAATTTTCACAATGAATGACTATTCTACAAAGTGTCATCATTGGGGAATTTTAATTAAATAAAATGAATAACACTTTTAAAAAATACAATATTATTTCAAGTCTTTCTTTGATTATGTTTATCCAACTAAATACTAATTATTTTTAACTAGAAATTAATTGATAAGATTTATAGAGAAAATATCATTTAGGATCTGTTGAGTGGGGCACTTCATTTGGGTCCAATTGATTCGCATTTGGCTTTTAATGTGATTAAATCTTCAAATCCTGCCTCATTGATTTAAACTTTAGAAAAAAATGTGACAGGAAATTTGCTTTTAATTGTGAAGGGTGCCACAAGCTCAAAGTTGAAATTGAGATGGAACACATAATACACATACTTCCTTTTGGGATAAAAAAAATTAAATATTTTTTTATTTTAAACATTTAATAAAAATCACCATTTTATCTTCATGTGTCTAAAATAATTTAAACCTATTACATCTAACTACAATATTTTATTTTAGAAAAATATTATAACTCAAATGATAACTAATCGATTATTTGAAATTTAAATTGATTATATTGTAAATAATTATATAGAGTTATCTGTTATAAACAAAATATCAAATTTAGTTGATTATAAAACATTAACAAACTATTCCATGGTTCGTGGCTCCGACGAACGTCGATGTTGGCGGTGGTTGTCAGATCTTCTCTGATCCAGTGCCCGTGAAGTTACTGCTGTGGTTGAAGATCCTCATCACAGTTATTTTTTTTCTCTCATATCATTCAAATAAAATAAAAAATTAATTTGATATTTATGCAATTTCTCTTCCGTCAAATAATTAAGAATCATGGATGAGAAACAGAGAAAAAGAAGAAAGGAACGATATTGATTCAAATTACAAAAGAAAAAATCATATGAAAGTAGCATAAGGATGTAGTTCAAGAGACGAAACAGCACATAAGTTTACATCTAATACACTTTTCTGCTACTTAAATATAAAGATGGACACTAAGAACAACGAAGAACAACATGAGCAACAGACCATAAATTACAGTGTGCACGAACATGGATGCAACAGTGGTCTTCATGTTCATAAACTCAAAGGGTGCGTTCTTCCCCGGCAACTGAAAGATCATTCCTGGGGACAAGAGCCAAAACAGTGCCGCAGCTATGAGGGGAGGAGCCCAATCGTTCATTGTAGAAACACAGCCAAAGCTTGAAAGAAGTGGAAGAATAGATGCTAGAGAAAGATCAAAAGCAGTAACTAAACTAATGATGCGTTCTATGCTCAAAGGGAATTCGAATTGGAATCCTATAAAGTTTGCATAAAAATAATCAATCATTCATTCACTTTAACATGTGTATTCTGGTCTCCTTTTTATCCGGGCCTCTTTCTGGATGAGAAAGGCATCGTTTTCTTTGGTGGTCAACAATCCCACAAGGCTTAATCTAGAGAATGGTCACAAAATAATAAAAATGGTTTTTTTATTTTGTTTTTTGCATTACAATGATCAGAGTTAGTGAAGTAAGGGATGATGATAAAACTTATCATTGTCAATTTAGTGCCTAATGACAAGCCTGGTTTCTCTTTTGTCCCCCCTTTATGCCATTATTCATGGGAGTTGGACAAAAAAAAAATTAAAAGAAACATGTTAAAAAAATAATGCAAATCAGGCAACCACACAAACATGGAAATGGAGCTTTTTTTTTTTTTCTTTTCTAAAAGAACATTTTGAAACTTTGACATTTCCCTTTCTTTTGTTCTTTTTATTCTTTAGCATTCCTTGTGTGGAAGCAGGTGGTAGTGGTAATAGATCAAAGTAGTAAAGGGGGTTTATTAAAAATGAAAAAGAACACGTTTAATCTTGATACATTAATTATAAATTTGAATATAATTTTTAAAATGATTACTATAATTAATAAAATTATTTATAAAGACAGATAAAATGTCACTAAAAGAAAATCATTGTGAATATACTTTAGTTAAATTACGTTTTTACAATACATTAATACAATTTTATTTGAGTTTAATTACAAGTAATATTATAGTCTATCAAAATGAAATTCATTTTATTTTATAGAAACAAGAAGAAAAAAAGTGAGATAAGATAAATGATGTAATAAGAGACTATTATAATACATATATATTATTTATTAAAATAATAATTTTAAAGAGTATAACACTTCAAAAATTTATATATAATATTTTTAGGTAATTTAAATATTTTTATAATATATATAATTAAATTATTATTAAAAATAAATGAAAAAATATATTATTTAAATTATCACTAAAAATATATGTAATTATTAATTAATTAATAAAAATAATTATATATACATATATAGTAAATAAATAAAATTAATTAGTTATTAGTTAATTAATAAAAAATAAAACTTAATTAAAAAGAAAAAAAATAGGAAGCTTATCTCTTCATGCATTTAATGAAAATAAAAATAAAAATACAATTATAAATACATGTGAGAGAAGGGAGGAGATCTCCGTGAGAAACAGAGAAAGGGGAGAGAAGGAGAGAGAAAGGAGAGAAGGGGAAGAGGGAGAAAAGGAGAGAGAAAGAAAGAAAATATATAAACAATTTTGGAACCAAATACTTAAAAGAATGAATTATGGGTTTAGTTGAATTTATAACAAATAAATCCCCCCAATTTTTTAGATATTATAATTTAGAAAATGTTGAATGGTAGATTAAAGAATTGAAAAAGATATTTTGAGTTATGAATTATCCTAATAATAAAAAAGTGAATTATATTGTTTTTTTTTATAAGTAAATAAAATCAATTAAGCTGAGTACAAGGGGTACTCAGAATTCAAAAAACAGAGTATATTACAAAACAGATAAAAGTCAATAAAAAAATACTCAAAATACATAAAAACACACTAAACAAAGTAGATCCAAAGATTATTATGTCAGTCTACAAGACTAAAAGACATTCTCATACCAGCCGAAGAGATCTATTTCCAAGAATTGAAAAAGTGAATTATATTGTGTTTAGATTAATAAGAGAAATTGCATATTAGTGGGATAGTACCAGGAGATTATTAAAAGTAGGATGAATAATCATTATATGGGAGATATTTAGAACAAAATTTTAGAAAAAATATTTTTCCAAAGATGTGAGAAAATAAAAGAAATAAAATTTATACAATTGAAGTAAGAGGTATGACAAGTAAAAGAATATTCTTAAGTTTGAAAAACTAGAAAATACTTTGCGTCCTTTTATCATCCTGATGAAGAAATGACATATATAAAATTTAAGAACGAACTTAGGCATGAATTGAAATAAACAGTGAAAATATTAGAAATTTCTGATTTTCTATGTTTATTCACAAGTGTAGATTTTTGAAAACCATAAAAATAATAAACCAAAATATTTTGGACCCTAGCAAAATAAAAAAAGACAAAATGAAGGAAAACTCTACAACCACCTCCATTAGAGATCTCAACCTAGCCAATTTTTTTACAAGAAATTCTAATAAACTTGTAAATAATCAATTTAAGTGTTTTAAGTGTGGACAAAATCATTATAAGGATATGTTTTTTTTTTTAAGTGTGAAAAACCTAGACATATATTTTCTGAATGTTGGTAACAAAGACCAAATTCCAACCTATTGGCACCTCAAACAAGACTTACAACAACATGGAGAGTATATACCATGATTGGAGTTGAAGTTCCTTAAAACAATAATTTAATTCAAGGTATAAAATTGTGAGTTACTGTATGATTCAGGCATAACTCATACATTCATTTCCAATGACTATGTTCAACACCTTGAATTGTTAACTTCTTTTCTAGATATTAGTTTTATTGTTTTAACTCCTACAAATAAGTATGTAATTACCGATAAAGTATGTCTAAATTGTCTTCTATTCATTGAAAATAAAAAAAATTGTAAATTTAATTTGTCAACCTTTATCTCAATTAGATGTAATATTAGATACAAACTAGTTATCTTTCAATCAAATCCTGATGAATTATGTAGAAAATCATTAAGATTTTCAAAATTTGAGGATCTTATAAATTCCTCTACTAACTGAATACGTGAGCCTTTAAATAATGAAGTTCAAGGATATTTGTTATTATTTTTGTGGAAGTAAAGGAGGAAGTCGATTTGAAAAATATAGTAGTTGTTCAAAATTTTCCTTAAGTTTTTCTTAATGATATTCCTGGTTTGCCACCTAATAGAGAGATTGAATTTTCAATAGATTTGATGTCTGAAATTGAACCAATTTCTATAGCACCATATAAGATGTCACCCTTTGAATTGACAAAACTGAAGAAACAATTGCAAAATTACTTGAAAAATAATCCATTCATCCTAGTGTATCACCTTGGATAACCACTATTTTATTAGTTAAAAAAAAAATTGGAAGTTTTAAGTTGTGTATAGATTATTGTCGATCAAATAATTTACCATAAAGAATAAATATTTCTTCCTATAATATATTATTTGATAGATCAATTAAGATAAGCTTTTGTGTTTTCTAAAATATATTTAAGGTCGGAATATTATTAAATTAGAGTAAAGACATAAGATATACAAAAAATGTATTTTGAACTAGGTATGATCATTATAAATATCAAGTAATATCTTTTGGTGTGACCAATGCTCCTGCAATATTCAAGGATTATATGAATAAGATTTTTTGCCTATTTTTAGATCATTTTTAGTTATGTTTTATAGATGACATTCTTATTTATTCTAAAACTTTTGAAGGTCATGAGGAACACCTTCAGACTGTTCTTCAAAATTTGAGGAACAAACAATTGTATGATAAATTATCTAAGTGTGAATTTTGGTTAGAAGAAGTAAAATTTTTGGGACACGTGATTTCCAAAGAAGGAGTATCAGTGGATCTAACTAAAGTAAAAATAATTTTATAATGAAATCCACAAAAAACAATGACTGAGAATCATAGTTTTCTCAGTTTTGTAAAATATTATAGGAGATTCATTGAAGGATTTTCTAAAATAGTTATGCTTTTAACCCAACTTACTAAGAAATGTCAAGCTTTTAAATGAACAAAAAAAATAATTTACAAGAGCTTAAGAAAAAACTAACCATTTTCCCTGTGTTAGTATTACTTAATTCCACAGGATACTTTGTGATGTTTTCAAAATATGATTAGGATGTGTTCTTATGCAAGATAGAAGGGTAGTCACATGCTTCTAGACAATTAAGAACACATGAGAAAAGTTATTCAACTCATGATCTAGAACTAACCTTTTGCACTCAAAATATGAAGACATTATGCGTATGGTGGTAAATTTAAGGTTTTTAGTGATCATAAGAGTCTTTAATACTTGTTTGATAAAAAAGAGTTAAATATAAGAAGAGAAGATGTATGGAATTTGTGAAATGTTATGATTTTAAATTACATTACCATCCAGGAAAGACAAATGTAGTGACATACACTTTAAGTAAAAAATCCTTACATGTCACTTCACTGATGATTCACAAGATGAGTCTACTAGAAAAATTCAGAGGCATGAATTTGTCAATTACCATAAGCCCTGATAGAATGAAATTAAACTCAATTAAAATTACGAGTGATTTACAAAGACAAATCCATGAGACTTAGATAAGTGATGAATCCATTCAAAAGAAAAAAGAAGTTGATAGGATAAAAGAATGGAGGAATTTTTTGCATAGATAGGGTAGGAATTTTGAAATTTAAAGATAGGATATGTGTGCCTAATAATGTATATATTAAGAAGTTGATTTTAGAAGAAATACATAAGAACAAATTGAGCATATATCCAGACACAACAAGAATGTATCAAGATCTTAAGAAAATATTTTGGCGGCCTAAAATGAAGAAGGAAGAAGCACAATATGTAGCAATGTGCTTAGTGTGTCAAAAAGCTAAGATATAACACCAAAAGACAACATGAATGTTACAATTTTTAGACATACTTGAGTGGAAATGACATAATATAGCGATAGACTTTGTAGTTAGCTTATCACAAATAATTCAAAAATTTGGTTTCATATGAGTTATCGTAGATAGGTTGATAAAGTCTGCTCATTTCTTACCCATTAACATTATGTATTCATTGGAAAAATTAACTGAATTGTACATAAGATAAATTGTGAAGTTACATATAGTTCCATCTAGTATTGTATCTGATAGGGATCTTAGGTTTACTTCTAAATTTTGGAGGAGTTTACATTGAGCCTTAGAGATTAAACTTCATCTTAGCTCAACTTATCATCCCCAAATTGATGGATAATTAGAAAGGACTATCTAGTCCTTGGAAGATTTATTGAGAGTGTGTGCTAAAGGATTATGGTAGTTGAGATCAATACTTACCATTAATT